ATAAGGACTATAGCCATGAGGCCTGCTTGGAGTTTTCTTATAGGCTTTCTGAAATGACTCAGCTCCTTTTTCTGCCTCTGCTGTTTAATCTTCCTCAGGCAGCAAGCTAGGGAAGTATTGGCTTTTTTCTTTAGGAAATACAGAATCTATGCAGCCAAAAACAAAAAACCCCAAGATGTCCTAGCATTGTACATAAGGACTATAGCCATGAGGCCTGGTTGGAGTTCTCTTTCAGGCCTTCTGCAATGACTCAGCTCCTTTTTCTCCGTCTGCTGTTAAAAATTCCTCAGGCAGCAAGCTAGGGACGTATTGGCTTTTTTCTTAGGAAACACAGATCTACCTAGCCAAAAAAAGCCAAGATGTCGTTTTCTTTTCTCACTGTGCTTGCACAGTTAAGCATTTACAACCCACCGAAGCAGTTATTAACAGAGAAGTGTAAATTGGGTGATAACACACAGTAAGTGGAGATCTTTTAGAATGTGTTTTTATATTGTTTATAGAATCGACATTCTAGGAGACATTAAAGCAACAGCAGCACTTTAGATCTCTAAGCATGAATTTGTTCAATGTTTTATTTTGACAAATGTTTTAGATTAAGATGATCTTTATTGCTGGTTTTTATGTTTCTGTTAATAATATTTATTACATATCTATCATAAACATACCATCCTAGAAACGTAGCCAGATATGTGCATGTCTTTCCACAATACCAGTTTATTAAATAACAATAAATTCACGTTTACTGGTTATTTTCTACATTGCTGTTATTCGGTGCCTGAAAAAAGCAACTTAAAGGTCTTCAGAGTGACGAAGCCAGTCATGGTGGTTGGAGCATCTGGGAACAGCATGTTTCAGGAATGCAGTCATAGAATGATTTCTTCCTGCCCCCCCCCAGCCCCTTTTTGAAATAGGGTCCTCTGTAGCCCAGGCTGGGCTCAAACTTACTATGGATTAGAGCGTGACTTAAACTCATGTATTCCTGTATTTACCCTGAGTGCCAGGCGTATAGCATACACCACCATGCTCTCTATGCAGTGCTGGGAATCAAACTCAAGGCTTTATTTGTTCAAGGCAAGCACTCTGCTAACTGAGCTACACCCCTAGTCTGACATTCTCATTCTTTATTCTGGCCGGGAACCCATCCAAGGAGTGATACCACCCACTTCCAGGGTGGGTCATTCCGCCTCTTAACACCATTACCGATACATCCAAAGGTCTGCCTGAAAGGTTCAGGCATTATGCTGGCCTGCCCCTTTTACCTGGTGGAATCCACTCAGGCAATACCCTGGTCAGCCCAAGGTTCCATGGGAAAGAAGTCTGCACGCAGGTGCAGAGGACCCCTTTAAAAGATAGGCCCCTGCCCCTTTACGCTCTCTTTGCCCCTTTACTCTCTCTGTCTCTGTCTCTGTCTCTGTCTCTGTCTCTCTCTCTCTCTCCCCCTGTCTCTCTCTCTCTGTCTCCTGTCTCCTGTCTCTCTGTTTCCCGCTCTGTCTCTCTATGGCAACCAGCCATGGCGGTCAGCCATTACCCTGTTCCTCTTCTGAGGCTCCCCATTCTGCCTTATAATAACCTTATAGTCAATATGTCTGTCTCAGCAATTTCTCTTTTCTTCTTTTTAAACAAAACAATAACATTTTGGCGCCCGGACGTGGAAAGGCTCTGCCCTTTATACCTTCTCCAAGACCCGCTGGCGGGCGCGTGTTAGGCAAGGGTACCCTTACACTGCCTTTCTGAAGATTAGAAATTGACCAAAAGAGCCAGCTATTACGTGATAGCTGGCCATTAGAAAATTACAAGTTCTTTTATTTTAGTCTAATTACTAGTATTACTTGTGAAATCCTAGATTACATGTTACACAGTATGCATGCTGGTTACATAATGGCTACAAAAGACTTTAAGAAGTCACAGAGTTCAGAGGCCTTCTGGGAAGCAGATTCAGAGATCTGTATTACAGGTGCCTCCAGTGTTGTTGAACCCAGCTGGTTGGCGGCTGGAGGCCAGCAGAATTGAGCTATAGGGTTGAAAATGAGTCATATCTGTGGGATCATCAAGGTGAGGCACAGGACCTAGTCCAGATAGTTGGGAAACAGACAAATGGACAGATAGAAGCTCCAAATGGGCAATGGCAAGCAGTTCAGACTGAGCTGAGCTGAAGCCCCATTAATAACTCTGCCTGGCAGTACCTTGAAGTGTTCACGGGGTATTCAGTAGGTGGGATCCTACCACTTTGTTACATATCCTTCTTTCTGTGGGGTCCAGGTAAGTATTTGTACTTCTGTTGGTCTGTCTGGTTCTTGGCCTGGTTTTGTGCATATGGTTTTAAATCCTACCACCATGTGCTTCATTTATAACTGTGTTGACGTGTTGTGTACTTGTATAAGTCATTTATCAGTCTATAGTCCATGGTCCGTGCTAGACAGGTGGTGGCATGAACTTGCACATAAGTTGCAGCATCATTGTCACCCTGACTTGTGTTTACACTCAGAATGACGTCAGCTGGTGCTTTGTAAAATGGAGTTCCTTAGGCAAGACACAACCCGAGAGCCACTGCTCTCCCACCCATAGGGAGGGGTTCAGTGCAGTGTACAGCCTGATCTCCACAAACAACACATGTTTTTCAGAAGTTTCCCTTATTTTCTTGACACAAAAACTGTAATGTACCTGTTACCTACACTTCATTGTGGCTGAATTTGTTTACTATATCTCATCTCAAAATTAGAATACTAGAATCATCCCCAAATTTGTGGAGCAGCTTTTATGGTCAAGTTATTTATATAATGTGAGTATTACTGTTTCCTCCCTCTAAGCATGTCTGCAAGAGAAAAGGAAAGTGTTACTTGTATTCTAGGTTGGCAGCCCTCATCTGGAATACATGTTACCCTCACATTTGCCATGTAGCACAGGCTGGCCATCAGCTGGTAGTTCTCCCACCTGTGCCTCACGGGGCTAGGATCATAGGCACATGCCATTCTGCCAACTGGAACTAGGTCTGTTATAGAGAGAATCCAATCAATTCTGTGAATTATGAAGAACCAGTAAATGGCCTTAAAAACCTTTTACATTTTTAAACAATTTTTGCTCTTTGTTTTTAAGGTTTTTGCTCTTTTTTTTTCAGTCTGTGTCCATCAAAACATTGTCAGCTATTGAAACAGTATTAGTTTGATGGCTGAAAAACCAGATAATGTGAAAAGATTTGTGAGATATATATATATATATATATATATATATATATATATATATAATAATTCAAGTAAGAGTCTGTCTTTTTGTTTTTTTATGCAGAAACCTAGACCGTCTATCATGCAGGTAAATGATGCCTTTTGAATGTACCGATGTGTCTGTCTCCAGTGTTCTCTGTAGAATTTTGTAATAATATGAACGATGTGTTTTCTTCTAGGATTCTGTAACCCTTTGCTCCTACCCCTTCATCTTCGATGCCCAAGCCAAGACCAAAATGCTGCAGACTGATGCGGAGTTGCAGATGCAGGTAGCTGCAGCGTCTCAGGGCCATTTCCTCCCTTTACTTCTTCTCGGTGTCCACAGTCAGTTATTTATGTATGGACAGCTCCCAGGTCACAGTCTATCACTGAGGAAAGTCAGAGCAGGAACTCCCAGCAGGAACTGGAAAAGAGATCATGAGGAACACTGCTTACTGGTTTGCTCTCCATGACCTGCTCGGCTTCTTTCTTTTTTGTTTTTGTATATAAAAAATATTTAGTAAATTTTAGTTCTAATATTTATTTGTATGTAAAATATTTACTAAATTTTAATTTAAATTACATCATTCCCCCTCTTTTTTTCCTTCCCTGCTTTCTTACATGTTCCAGACATGGACCTAGGCTAATCTGATAGAAGCAGTTTAAATTGAGGTTCCTTCTTCCCAGGTGATGCTAGTTTGTGTCAAATAAAGAAAGAAACAAAGAATAAAACCAATAAACAACAACCAAAAACCCAGTGCAAGATATTCCTGTGGAATGTGGAGTTGACAAGGATTTTTCTCCCATTTTTTCAGCTTTTTAAAGATGTCTGTGCAGCTCATGCATGCTTGGTGCCCAGTGAGGCCAGAAGAGGGAGTCAGATTCCTTGGAACTGAAATCATGTGGATGCTGGATTAAACAAAGTTCCCCTGGAAGAGCAATTCATGCTCTTAACCATTGAGCTGTGACTAGAGAGTCCCTTGACTATCTGCTGATTGTTGTTTTGCTGTGCAGAAACCTTTTCATGCAGTTCCATCAGTGAATTCTTAAGAATCATTTCTTATGAGAATGGTTGGCAGGGTCTGCATTTTGAAGTAGTTTTTTTTACCTACCTTATCCTTTAGTATTTTTCAAGCCTTACATTGAAGTTACTTTGATCTATTTTGAGTTGATCCTTGTACAGGGCTGAGAGATTCGACCTATGTTTTGCTTTTTGTTGTAGTTGTTGGTTTGGTTTTTTTGTTTGTTTTTTGGTTTTTGGTTTTTCGAGACAGGGTTTCTCTGTGGTTTTGGAGGCTGTCCTGGAGCTAGCTCTTGTAGACCAGGCTGGTCTCAAACTCACAGAGATCTGCCTGCCTCTGCCTCCCGAGTGCTGGAATTAAAGGCATGTGCCACTACCTGGCTTATTTCAGCTATTTTTGTTGAGTCCATATTAGAAAGAAGTAGCAAAAAAGTTAAGGTTTTAGAGAAAAGGCAAAATGGACACATAGTCAGCTGTTTCTGGTTCAGAGATTCTCCAGGCTGTACTCAAAATGGTCTGGTTGTTCTATTCCAGGTGGCAGTCAATGGAGCCAACCTGCAGAATGTCTTCATGCTTCTCACCCTGGAGCCTCTGCTGGCCAGAAGCCCCTTCCTGGTCCTTCATGTCCGCAGGAACCACCTTGTTGGAGATGCCCTGAGAGAGCTAAGCATTCATTCTGACATTGACCTGAAGAAGCCTCTCAAAGTGAGCCCCTTCAGAGTACTCCTTGCACCTTCATGAGCATATAGCAGCAGAGATCGTATGCAGATACAGAGGGCAGCCATTCATCACTGGTTTTAAGCTTTTTACATGAATCCAGTCACCTCCTTTTGTTAAGTTACTAGAAAGAACATCTCATTGGAACAGCAGAGCAAATGCTATTGGGTTGTTGAGAGATTCTTGGTCTCTGCTTCTGCTGTCTGTAGTGTGCCTGCTCTAGACTATCGAAAACAGTCATATGAGATGTAATCTTGACAAAATACAGCAATTAAGATTTCACCTAGGAAGACTAGGATGCCCAGGATTTAAGAGACAGAAGGTAAATGAGAAATAGAGAGGTGGATAGGTGGGAAGTCATCTACGAAGCTGTTGGCCTTACAAGTATAGGCAAGTTTATTAATATGTGATTAGTGATAAGGTATCTCTTCCCATAGATTGTGCATTAATGCATAAGACTGCCTCCTATGCTCTAGACTGTGTGAAATGTGGTTTACAGCAGGTATCCTGAGTAATAGATAACACATTATTTGAAGTTGTTTAAAATTAAATGGCTTCCATCTCTGGTGCAAGTCATCTCACAAGTGCTGGTTTCAGAGCCACAGTCTGCAGCAGATTGAACTGATTGTCCCACATTGTTGCCATCTCCAAAATGTCCTCATAAGGACACATGTATACACATATATACAGCTTTAATCCCAGGAGGCTGGAATAGGTGAATGGGAAGCTCACAGCCATTCCTGATAACTTGGATAGATTTATCTCAGAGTTCAGTGTAACAAGGACTAGAAGTGTAGCTGCGTGGGGAGCACTTGAGTCACTCATGTGTGTCTCAGGGAAAGAGGACTTGCTTCCCGTGTGTGTGGTTCCAGTTCAACTACTAGAACTACACAAAAAAAGACTATTGAAAGCCCTAAGAATCCGACTGGTCTGTGTGGTTGTTCTCCCTAGAACTTCTGGTTTTTATTACACACAGCCCCTGTTTTCACTCAGTTATTCTGACAGGGTTCTTGCTTGGTAACATAGTCGAGTCTTTGGTTGGCTTTTGCTTTCCCTGAAGTATCTATTCTGTTTTCATGTTTTGAGGTGATCTTCGATGGGGAAGAAGCAGTAGATGCTGGTGGTGTTACAAAGGAATTCTTTCTTTTGCTGTTGAAAGAACTTTTGAATCCCATTTATGGGATGTTTACCTACTATCAAGACTCACAGCTCTTGTGGTTTTCAGATACAGTAAGTTCGTAACGTCACAATCAAGTACACTGTTTGCACCAAACTTTCTGTTTGTTGTCAGACTAGCCCCTTGGTTTGTAACATTGCAAAATTAACCATTAGCGTACCTAACATAGTCAACCTTCAGGCTGTACCTGCTTTCAAGACTCCTTGTACATTTTGTCAGCCATGAGCCCCAGTGCTGTTTCTAGTAAGTAAAATCTAAGCTATAGTATCCATGGAGGGCAAAAGGAACAGTGTGATAAAAAAAAAAAAAAAAAAAAAAAAAAAAAAAAATTAGTTTTAGAGGCTGGTTTAGAGGCTGGAGAGGCTCAGTGGTTAAAAGCACTGGGTACTCTTACATAGGATCCAGGTTTGATTCTAGACATGCAGATGGTGCCTCCCAACCATCCGGAGCTCCACTTGTAGGGGCTGCTTTCTCTGGCTTCCTCAGACACCGGTATACAGAGTCATGCATATAAGCAAAACACCCATACACATGTGTAGATAGAGATTCTGTTCTGCCTGGTGCTGCCACCCTGCAGGCCCCAATAAATACACAGAGACATTTATTATTTAGAAAATGTGTGGCTGATGGTTTAGGCTCCTTACTGGCAAGCTGTCTCTTAATTATTAACCCGTAACTATTAATTTATGTGTTTCTATGTGGCCCTATCTTCCCAGAGAACCCCCAGAGTGTCTTCCAGCCACCACATGGCATTTCAGGGGCTCATTCTCTTCTTCCTCTCCCCAGAATTCTCCTTGTCTGGTAGCCCCGTCTATACTTTCTGCCTGGCTACTGACCAGTCCATGTTTTATTCATCAGCCAATAAGAGAAACATATATACAGAACATCCTCCATCACACATAGCAAAATAAAATAATTGTAAAAGATTAGTGTACCTCTTCCTGTTTTCTGTCATAGAAAAGGATCAAGGTGAGAAAGGGGAGCCCACATGGACCTCCACATGTCTGGGCAGTAGATGCACACTAACCTGGTCAGCTCAGGGGTTGGAGCAGCCCACAGGCCAGTGTTTTCCAATGCTAGATATATTAGTAGGTTCTTTGAGCATTGAGATGAATTAAAATATACCAGGCTACTATGTAGTCTGTGGGCTATGACAGAAGAAATCCTGGATTGCAGATGCCTGAGAATGAGTTAGGGCAAATTAACCCTCAGATACTGGGAACTTTGGCATGGGGATTGCATAAGTCAGGGTTCTCTAGAGAATCAGAACCAATAAGATGAATATGTATTACATAAAAGGTTTATTAGGCTAGGCAGTCAACAGTGGGTGTCTGTTTGAGCTACTCAGTCCTTGAGATGGGGTGCTTCAGCTGTTCAAGTTTGGTGGGAAGGCCTGGAGGATTCCTGGAGACCCCTGCTTTTTTAGTTTACAGTTGAACCAAAGAAGCTGGAGTTTGATGTTAGCAGCAGAAGTAGTAGGCATACTCAACAGGACAGAGCAAGGGCAGGCAATAAGACAACATTGCTTTCTCCTCAGGACTCAGAAAGGTGGGAGGGTCTTTGCTTTCAGCTAACCCTTCCTAGAAATGCCCTTATAGACCCACCCTGAGGTTTGTCTCTTAGTTTATTCCAGCCAGGTTAGCAATCAAGATTCATCATCACAAAAACCCAGAAACACATCCAACTGGGTATCAAATAAGACCTGAGCTTTGGTATCCATGGTCTGGACATCTCTATAGTGCTGCTGGCTAGGCCAACTTTCAACAGCACAGACAAGCAGCACAGGATAGGCTGGCTGCTCTGGAACCAAATACAGAAAAAGTGAAATGGGAGTGATGGGATGATCTTAATAGGATTATGATGGCATAATGGGATCATCCTTTACAAGTAACAAATTTTATCCAAAAGGCCTTAGCGAAAATTTAAAAAGAGAAAGAAAAATGGCTTTTTATTGTAGTGGGCATTGGTAGTCACAACACACACACACACACACACACACACACACACACACACACACACACACACATTCTTTTAATGATGGTAGTTTGTGTCTGAATATGTACACATAGACTTTTACTTTAAAAAAAAATTTAACAGGAGAGCTAAGTTTTAGATGCCATGCTAGAGTTGGGGGTGTGGCTCCATGGTAGAGCACAAATCTAGCATGCATGAGTACCTGAGTTAGATCTCCAACATTGGAGGGGCTCTTATTTCATCCAACCCATGATTACAGGGCTTTTTGGGGCTCCTAGAGTTTTCTCCTTAGTGTTTCATTGTCTTCACTGGTAGTAGCTGTTCACATCTGATGATTTAAATTAAAATTCACTAGTAAAGATTCACTTGATGCACTTAGTAGACACATGTAGCCAGTCAGGGTTGGTGCAGAACAGAACAGTTGCATCATCACAGAACGGGTTCCTGAAGAGCCCTGCTGGAGAGACAAGGAGGCTGTTTCTATACCATCAAAGAGTTCATGTGCTTGACTTTGCACTGTGTCTGTTAACTGTAGCAAACTCTGATCAGGGAACTTTCTCTGCCTCAGAGTGTAAATATAAATATGGGCTTCATTCTAATATACTGGAGCATTTTGAGTGGGTAGTAGAGGATTTCAAGGTCTTCCAACATGATTTCTTTCTAATACATTTGCACGCACCCTAAAAGTGTTTTGTAGAGCGCAACTGGTTTCACTTGATTGGCATAACCTGTGGACTAGCTATCTACAACTCCACTGTGGTTGATCTCCACTTCCCACTGGCTCTCTACAAGAAGCTACTGAATGTAAAGCCTGGCTTGGAAGATTTAAAGGAGCTGTCACCAACTGAAGGAAGGTAAGGAGCTAAAAGTCATGGTGATCGTGTGGGGGTCTGTCTTTTTTGCTGTAGCATAAAAGACATAAAAGGGGAAACAGCATATGTGCAAGTCTGGGTGCATTGAAGCATTGTAGATTATGCAGCACTTGCTTGAATAAAGCATTGCCTGTGTTACTGTATGGACAAGAGAAGAAATTAAAAGAGAGGCCTAAGGCTAGAGAGATGGCTCAGTGGTTAAGAGCATCTGTTGCTCTTTCAGAGAACCTGGGTTTGGTTCCCAGGACCCATGTAGTAGCTCACAGCCATCTGTAACTCCAGTTTCAGGGGACCTAATGCCCTCTTCTGGCCTCCACAGGCACCAGGCATACCCAGACAAACATTGCAGTAAAAACAACCATACACATATAGTAAAGAAATACACTGTTACAAAAGAAAAGGGAGGGGGCATAGCTCCTCAGGAATAAACTCTGGTTTCATTATCCTGTACCACCCTCCCCCCCCCCCAAAAAAAAAAAAAAAAAAAAAAAAATAAAAAAAGAAAAAGAAAGTTTGAGCCTTGTCCTAGTTCAGAGATAACAATGGGGGAGATTATTGAAATAGAGTTTTTCAAAAAGTTTACTGATACAGTGACAGATAATTCATATACATACAGCTGACCCATGTAAAGAATACTTAAAATATACTTGAGTGTATTTAAAGTTGTGTGACTATCACTGTAATCACTTATAGAATATTTTCACCTCCTGAGAAACAACCTGGCACTTGGTTATCTTATCCTTGCTCTCCATAGGTGCACACCAATCTGCCTTCTGCCTCCATCAGTTTGCCTATTCCAGTTTTTGTAGGGAGACACCTTAACCATGCCTCCTAAGGGCTGGCTACAGGTGTGCCTGACCACGCTTGTCAGGTTAGGATGATGCATAATAGGTTTTTAAGGGGCTGCAAGGCACATGGGACCCTTCTCTCTGGCCTGCCTGCCTCTGCCTCCTGAGTGCTGGGATTAAAGGTATGTGCCACCAGCGCCCAGCTGGAAAGTTCTTGTAATCCTGGCCAAAAGCTTATATCAAAGACTAAAGCTATGACATGAAATCTAACTAGTCTAAGTTAAGGAATCACAAACTGGGAAAACTCAACAGGTGTGAAGAGACAACACCGCAGCCAGCTACAGGCTGAGAGCAGTTGGTCAGAAGGGCAGGTCTATGATTGGAACACATGGTCTGGAGGTCTCAGCACATAATTTTGCTTAGGTGCTTTTCCACTCATCCTCTCAAGATTGTCTGGGTTGTAGTACTGGTGGTGTCCATTAAACAACTCATGTTCTCTTCACAATTCTCTCAGGTCCTTACATGTCTCCAGTCCCCACTACAACCCATGTAAAGGTCCAGGTAGGTGGCCCCACCATGGACCTTATGGAATACTCAATTCTTTAAACTACTTAAGTTGACCAAGGACAATTGGTGGGAAAAGGCCCAAGGGGCCAAGGCAGAGAACAGTGTGTTTTTGTTTTTTAAATTTTTGAGACAGGGTCCCATTATGGAGCCCTGGCTGGCCTGGAACTAACTATGCAGACCAAGGTGTCCTTCAGTTCATAGTTATTGCCTCTTGAGTACTGGGACTAAAATTGTGTGCTACCATGCCCACCCACTCTGGATATTTTTTTAAAATGGAATCTTACAGTATTGTCCAATTTGTCTATGTCGCTTGGTATGTTTTCCAGATTTGTCCTGGAAAACAGTGTTTCATTTCTCAGACTGGCAGGTAGCATACCACTGTGCATCACTCTGTTGTCTTCCGTAGCATTGTATGATAGCCCATTGTATGATACTCCCTTGAACACATATATTACATTCCATTTCTCCATTCTTCAGTTGATGAACGCTTGGAGCGTTTCTGTTTTGGAAATATTATGAATAGTGTTGTTGAGAACATTTATATGCAAGTTTTTGTGTAGATATAAACTTTTGTTACTCTGATGTATGCCTAGGAGCAGAACAGCTGATTCATATGCTAATTCCATATTTAGCTTTTTGTGGAACTATCAGAGTGCTTTTCACAGTAGTCAAGCCACATTTTTTTCTTTTTACATATAATAAACCATAGTTTATTTATAGGGCAGGAAAGTGAGAGGGAGAGAAATAGAAGAACAGAGCAAGGCAGAGAGTAAGAAAAAGGAGAGAGAGGTGAACCACTGGAAAGAGAGAGCGTAAGAGAAGAGAGCGTAGGTGGGCAGGGATCTGTCTTTTAAAAGGGGTCCTTTACACCTGCATGCAGATTCAGTTCCCATGGATCCCTGGGCTTACCAGGGTACTGCCTGAGTGGATTGTGCCAGGTAACAGGGGCAGGTCAGCATAATGCCTGAACCTTTCATTCCCACCTTTACTTATTATTAAAAAGGTGGGGTGTTAGACGTGGCAGATTAAGAAATAAGGATGTTGAATTCTCAAGACTGCTTCCTGCTGACATGGGAGGCATTGACCATCTTAGGGGGACCTGAGAAAGCTAGGATGCTGCCACGTCCTGGGTTAGCTGGTTTCTCCATCGCAGTCCAGGCTGTATGGAACTCTGGTACCTCTTTGACCTGGCAAGATGTTGGCAGAGAAGAGGACAAGGCTAAGTTTAGGAAAAATTTTTTTTTCCTTAGGTCCTGGTACTTGAGGGGAGGATTGTAAGATGAGGGAGGGGTTCCCCAGGGGTCCCAAGATAAGGGAAGGGAATCCAGGACCAGGGAAAGATTGAATAATATCTGGAGTGGATCTGACCTGTTTGGATCCAATTCAGCTCCCTGGAACTTACAAGAATCCTTAGAGTTTGTAGAAACGTAAGTATTGGACACATTAGCAGCATATTCATATTAGAAGCAAGTTGGCTGAAAGCATTAACATTTTAAAACTGACAGATATTTTTTCAGACAATGAAACGCACCTTAATCTTGAACTTGTAGTTAGAGAAATCTGGAACATAAAATATCTTTTCCTAAAATCTGTTTTGCTTTAAGCTGGCAAGACTACCAGTCGTCAAAAGCATCAGAGTTCTTGAGAAGGATAAGATTTTACGTGAACTAATGATTAAAGAATAACAGAGACTTGCCAGCAGGCTGCATGGACAGCCACCCCCAAGGTCCTCCATCCATGGTTGTGGGCTGCACGGTATCTGCCTTCTTGCAGGACACCTGCTTTCTTGTTGATAGCATGTGACCTGTGGATTAGGGACTACAGGAAGGCTCGCCTACCGTTGACCCAAGCAACACGGGCAAAGTTGATTCCATGTCCTCTTGTCCATGGTCCAAAGAGGCCTTTGTAGTAGTTGAGGTGAAGGGCAGGGTTGCTCAATTGCCAGTGTTGCCATTTTTGTGGCTGGAGTTTCTTCAGTGCCCACCAGTCTTCTTGAAGGAAATGGGGTGGGGTCAGCAGCTGGCCTATCTCTCTGTTATAAAAAGCTTTATAATAAAACATTTTAAATGCCATATTCTCTGGATCTCTGAGCATGTGAGGGCTGTCTGTCTGTTTAGTATCTCAGCAGTCAAAAATTTGCCTTTAGTTAGAGAAAAATCCCTTTTTGTGATAAAAAGCTGTACCTTTGTAAATGGCTTACAGGATGGACTGAGTGGTATAAATATTTTGTTAATTTGAAATAGACCTTTATGATTTTAAATGTTTACCATCATTTAAAGATACATAGCAATTTAGAAATATGAGACTTAGTACAGTTAAATTTAAGTTGCATATAGAGTTAGCTAAGTATATAGTTAAATTTAAATCACATGTACAGAGACAAGAAGACACATCAGTTGATTTAACAAGACAGAGTAGAAACTGCCAGTGACAAGGCAGGTCCACAGCAGGAAAAACAGGGGACCTTGGAAAGGCACAGTATTCAGTAAACAAGCCATGCACAACAGAGTCAGTGAAAGAAGAAATTAGAGACAAAAATAAAAAAGCATGAAGTCCGGCAGGGTTTGCTGGCACAGGCGGCTGCAGTGGGTGTGCAGTAGAGGTGGGTCACATGGTTAAGATGGGGAGCTCCCAGGTCAGACCACATGGCCAAGATGGCGGCCACCTTAAACACATTTCCGACTGCCAGCAGAAGTGACTTTTTTCTCCATGAGTGAGGCAGAAAAGATGGGTGAAACCAACAGGACACCGGAGTCCAAGAAGCACAACATCCACTGTAGGTCTGGGAAACGAATGCACCCATCTATGGACAGTGCTAGGGTACAAAACCCGAAAGATCCCTCGTGGTAATGAAACTAAAACCTCAAACCTCATTCATGTGGGAAAATGAAAACTAAAAAATCTCTAACAAACAGAAGAGTGAGGGGCATTGCCAGGTGAAAGAAAGTTCCCACAGAGAGGTAGAAGAACTCCTCTCATTTACCTTTTCGCTGGCAGTAACTGGAAAAGGTCCCGTAAATGTATTTCCCATGGGTGAGGCCGAAAAGGGCAGACCGCTCTATCTCGCACGCCCAGCAGAAAGCACGTATGAGACTCAGCAGTCCGAAACTGAAAGGAAGGCTTAATACCAACATGCACTGCTCCGGGAATGGCGTGCCGGACCTGACCCGTGGGAAATGCACCCAACCAGAAGGGTTGTCTTACTGGATTGCCAAGAACAGGCAGATGAGTGGGTTCCAGAGATCCTTAATTTGAAAAGCGGCAAGTTGAAGTTTACAGAGTTCTGGTATCTCAGGCTGCTGCAAGCTGGAGGAAAGGCCAGGAAAAATCGAGAGATGGAAAGTGGGTCATCAGTTCAGATTCTAGGATCCCGAAATTTCCCGTACCCCTGGTGGGAGAGGTTCCGGGGAGGGCCTAAATCAATGTTGGGCTCCAAAAATGTTATTCTTTTGCTTAAATTAGAGATAAGCAAAAGATGAGACTATAGAGAATACATTAACCAGTTTACTATAGGGCGGGAAAGCAAGGGGGAAAGAAATAGAAGAACAGAGCAAGGCAGAGAGGAGAGAGAGAAGCTGACCACTGGAAAGAGAGCATAAGAGAAGAGAGCTCAAGCCACATTTTTGTTACTCTCATTTGAGGGGAGGCGTGAGCTCTTGAGAGCCCCCCTTTTCTTAAGTTTCTCTGTGATGGCACAGCAAACAGTTAAATACAGCTGGCTTGAGAGGGAGGGAGTAGCTTCTTTTTTATGGGAAAAGGTGGAGCAGGGCTGGCAGTGGTACCACACTAGTATAGCATTCCAGAGTCTTAGAGTTCAATCCCAGCACCACAAAACAAGCATAGCTGCCTCCTAGTAATGATCACCCGTAATCCGGAGGCAAGAGAACTAGGAGCTTAACACTAGCCCTCACATCACAGCCAGTTCAAAGCCATACTCTGTCTCAAAACAGTGTATTTACAGATGGTGGGGCAATCCCATTTCTAGAAGGTACCTTAGAAACTTCTTTCACCTTAAGCAATTTTTTTTTTTTTCTGGCAAGAAAACGTCCTAGTTAGAACTTCAAGGTGCTTGCTTTCATGAATCTGATCCAGGTTATTTCCTGCCACCAGCAAATTGTCTCCCATCATTGCCCCCTTAATCACTCACATTGCCTATGTCCCTTTTGAGAGTTTCCAGCATCATGAGTTTGAGGATAACTTCCTTGTTATGCCATGTACTAAAAACTATGCCATTCATACAGCATTGGTTTTCGTATGCTGGCACTGCCCCAAACATCCCATATTTCTAGATAGGAGATCTTTTGGGGTTTCTTCTTTGTAGTCATGAAATCTGACATCTACTGAGCATCCCATAGTCAATGAGGAATTTCCCAGGACTTGATTTTGGTGTAGAAAATGGACTAGTGAAGATTTCCCAACACCTGACTCTTCCAGTATTGGTGCCTTCAGCTGTTCTGTCTTGCCATTTCCCCGTGATAAATCTTGATAGAATTGCAGGGCTTGATTCTCTGAAGAAAAGTATGAAGTTATATGATAGTTTATATAAATACCGTCTTAGTTAGGGTTTCTATTGCTGTGCAGAGACACTATGACCACAGCAACCCTTAAAAGGAAAACATTTCATTGGGGTGGCTTACATTTTCAGAAGTTCAGTCCATTATGGTGGGAGATGGAAGCATGCAGGCAAATATAGTTGGAGGCCCTTCTAACGCAATGGAGCCACATGGACTTTGTGGCAGGAAAGTGGCTCCAGGATACAATCCTTACTATTGGTGTGATCCCTGTACCTGACACTAGTGTGGATCCCTGCAGGTCTTCCTGCTGGTCTGCACCGAACCACTGGGCCACTAATGGTCATTACCTGGCTCAGCAGAAAGGGCCAGGTAGTTGCGGAGCTCAGAGTGTAGACTCTGCTCAGTAGTATGGTGGCCCTGAAGCAGCCGCTTCATGAAGTACAACTTGCACTGGCGCTGGTGTGTGCCTTGTGGAGCTGGCCCTTGCCAGTAAAGGCCATGTACCAGCCTGACACTTTGCAGGGCCGTGTAGCTGTTCTCCAGTACCATTTCCGTGAACACGCAGTTCTTTCCTTTGCCATTGCTTTTGGCAATTAGCTTCCCCTTCATAATTGTGCAGATGTAGAGACCCACCGTAGCTCCATGGACTCGAACTCTGCTTCCATAGCTATCTGTCTCCACAGTGAGCTTTGTGAAGCTCGGCCATGGCGTTGATGGCCAGGACCTGCACATGCTTCCTGCTGGTGTGACTGTAGAGCTGGAAGGTCTGGATGAGGTGGTGGCTGAACTGATCTGTCACCAGGCTCTGCTCCCTCACATGCTGTGCAAAATTAGGCAAGGACTGGGTTGGAGGCAGAGAACCAGCAAATCCAACAGCAGACAGCTCAGCACAAAGTGGGTGCTCCCTGTGGTGCATGGGATACTATCAGGCGAGGGAACGATGGGGCCAGGAGCACCAAGGCTGGCCAGCATGTTGGGGCGACACCAGCTCACTGGCTATGTGGGATCCTGCAGCTCAGCCTGTCAAGTTTCTGCACCCCCCTCCATGGCCCCCACTTGGACAGCCTGGTGGCTCTGCTGGCTGTAGCGAGCAAGGAGAGGATTCCCCTGCTTGGCTCCCCTGAGTGTCAAACCATCCTCAAGTGAATGTACAAACCTGTCTCAATGGGTTCCAAAATTCTGTGACAGATTTTTGATCATGCTGTCTCTATCAAAAAGCACTAATCCCGAAAATGCTAGACACACACACACACACACACACACACACACACACACACACACACACACACACACACACACACACACACACACAAGGTCCGCAAAACATTCTCCTTCCCTTCCGAAGGTTTTCACGATGCATCATTATCCTTATCCAGTCTTTCACTGTTAAACTTAAATGGACAATTGAAAACGGCTATGCGCTATCTTTTTGTCTCATATTTACAAATTCTATTTACAAATTTTCACTCCTAAGTTACTCACTGCACCTATACTTTACTTTTTTTGAGCGATCACTTTTCACTTTACAGTTGTGGTGTCCATCATTTTATCATTGTGTTCAAGCCTTAACAGCCAAGACACCATCTGTCAGTTCCCACCTGACTAGTCCAGTCCATGCTTGAAAGAAGGAGTATGGATTGAATACTAAACACCATGATGCTGAATAGCCAAATTTGAGAAGAACAAAAATCTACAAAATCTAAAATTCTGAAAATTTCAGTCTCCAGAGATTAAAACTCCAAAGGGTCAGAAAGATGGATTCTGGGGAACGGCTGGTACTTTATTGATCACGTGTGGTATAGGTGCCTTGTTATAGGCACAATGAGGACCCAGAGAACTGTCTGTGAGGGCATTTCCATAGACTGTGTATGAGATTGAGTGCATCTTTCCATAGCTTCCAATATTGGACATATACATTACTTGAAGACTTCCAAAGTGGTTTTTGTTTTTAATCTTGTGGAACTTTTGCAAATTTGACATGATGAGAGTCTGTTATACTATCACTGGCTTTGTGCATGTGTATAAAAATGTTAAAACTTTCCTTTTTATACATCTGCATTTATTAAAAATAACATTTCTCAATATCTTAGTTCTTTAGGTGATTATATATCTGGTGGTGACTTACTGTAATGTTTAACCATCTTTTCAAAGGATTTAGCTGTTCGTCACTTTAATTTTAGACAGCCACACTTATAAAACTGCAGCTCATACCTACCAAGCATTGCTATTTGTTTCTACAATTTTCATTTTCATGTATTCATTTGGAAATATTTACCTACCAAGCAGTGCTATTTGTTTCTACAGTTTTCTTTTTGATGTATTCATTTGGGAATACTGTTTGTATTTATCTTAACTTGTATCTTTATAGCTGTGACTTGTGTATATTATTTTCCAGTTTTGTGTTTTGAAGTAGTTTTGTAAATTGTGTATTGTGCTGTAATGTTTTCTGAATCTTCCTTTAAAGGTGGAAATAGCTTTAAGAGGCTTTTCTGTTTGTTAGTTTGTTGTGTGTGTGTGTGTGGGGGGGGGTGTTTTGTTCTTTTTTATTTTTAGAGATGGGTGTTGGACCAGGAACTGTTACATTCAAAATGGGTGAGACACACACACACACACACACACACACACACTGTCTGAAGAATATGTTAAATTAGTTTTTTTAGAGTTGTATGTGAGATTTTAGACTTTGGGAATTTTAGACATTAGGGATTCTGATATTTGATAATTTCAATATTTGGAATGGTGGTTTGGGGATTAGGTTCTCACCCACCCTTTAGATTCCTATCTGGACGGTGGCGACTGTATTAATGACTTTTCTGTTGGGATATAAGCCGTGAAGAATTTATTTGGACTTAGTTTCAGAGGGCTAATAGTCCATTGTGTCAGGGAAGCATAGCAGCAGACAGCAGAAAGCAGGAACAACAGAGAGCTCACTTAACCCCAACCAGGAACCAGAGAGAACAAACTGAATGAGAATTGTCTTGAAACTTCAGAGCTCCCCCCCACCCCCGTGATACTTCTCCAAGCAAGGCCACGGCTTCTAAACCTTCCCAAACAGTACCACCAAGAGGAGACCAAGTATTCAAACACATGAGCCCATGGAGGCCCATCTCATTTACACCATCACAGTGACTTTGCAGGCCTGTTTTTGTTTGTTTTTATGGCAGGATTATTTTACTAAAGTATATGGGTAAAACCAGCCTATGGAGTCGTTACAGTACCATGTTCTCATGTATATATGTATACACTGAGTAGTGCTAAGGAGGAGCAAATACAAGCCCATGAGACTTAAGTCCATCTGAATTTCATCATCAGTTGAGGAATATGTATTAGCCGGGAAGAGAGCAGTACAGTCTGCTGCCATAATTCTCTAAGGTTTAGGTACATGGCTTTCTGTATTTTGAATTCATGTTCTCTAGACTTTTCTTCTTTAATTTTCTTGGCAAAGACTCTGGACATAATTGACTTAAAACCCCACTGCAACATTTTTGATTTGCTTCTTTTCCTGTTCTTCGATTACCAGGAGTCTTCAAGAACTTCTAGATTACCCGGGTGAAGATGTTGAGGAGACTTTCTGCCTCAATTTCACGGTATGAATTCCTGTATTTGTGAGTGTGGCTGTTCTACATAGTCATTGCCAATCATAATTAACATTAGATTTTAGTCATCCTATCTTGAATTCAGTAAATGTGTTGTGTGGAGGAATTTGTTTATCTGTGCACTTAGGGCAATTACCAAGACATTAATCTTTACTTTTGACTTGTGAAAGCTATTGTTTTCTACAGTTCATGTCCCTTTCTCCTTGATTCCATTCACTGGGAAGTTCATTCCTAAAGATGTTTTTGAGGTGTTGGTGTTTTCTGACTCAGATTTTTATTCTACTCCCTGTTTCCTGTAAAAGTAGTCATTAAATTACATTTTACTCCTAGTTTTCTCTGAGTCACTTGGGTTCTAGAAAGGCAAATTAGTTAACAAAAATGAAAACGCATTCTTTTCTGTGTTAAATGAAGGTGTGCCGAGAAAGCTATGGGGTGATTAAACAGAAGAAGTTGATACCTGGGGGAGACCGAGTGGCCGTGCGCAAGGACAACAGGTTAGTCCTGACCTTGGGGTGCTAGATGGATATTTAGCTGTTTTATTTTCCTGAAGTTTGATGTTTTAGTCCAGGATTGAAATGCTATTTTGATCTTTCTATGGAAAAAGTGTAGAAGGCAATAGAACAAGAACTTAAAGATTGCAGAGAATTTTTAATAGCAGGGCAAGACATGGCTATAATGAGTTTTTCTCTGTCCCTCCTGCCAGCTCTCAAATAACTACATGAAGACTTTATTAATTATGAAAGCTTGGCCTTAACTTAGGCTTGTTTCTAACTAGCTTTTATAACTTAAATTAGCCCATTTCTATTTATCTGTCACATGACTCGTTGCTTTTACCTCTCCTTCTGCATGTCCTGCTTCCTTTGTGTCTTTCTGGTGACTTCCCCCATTTTTCCCAGAGCTCTTTTTGTCTGGAAGTCCTGCATATACCTCCTGCCTAAAAGCTATTGGCCATTTAGCTTTTTATTAAGCCAATCACATTGACACATCTTCACATAGTGTAAAGGAATATTTCATAACATTTCCCCTTTTTGTATAACTAAAAAGAGTAGGTTTCTTTTTCTTTCAGAAAAAAAGGTTTTAACTCTAACATAGTAAAAGAATATACAGTAAGAACAATTATCATATTATCTAAATAAAAAGAGATGGTTTAACTCTTAACATAGTAAAACTATATACAGTAAGAATGATTATCAGGTAAGGATTACATTCACAGTGCCCAGTCCATTTGTTTTTGGCAAATTCAGAGAAAATACTCCCATCATGTGTCTTATCTTGGTGAGTCCAAAGTTTTGTTACCTAATTTACTTTTTATCATAACTTGTATTAGCAACCCAAAACTGGTTTTTTAGACCGCAAAACATTTTTAAATAAACAAATTAAGCTTTTATGTCTCATAAACTTATATACTTTATACCTCTTTTGTGAGTTTCTTTTTTTAATTTGGACTAAGAAAAACTATAAGTATAACTATCTAGTCTTCAGTTCCATCAGAGACCAGAGAAGGAGGTAATAATACCTGAGTAAATGGAAAGTGTAGAGCAAGCAACTTCCAGAACTGTGAGAAATGACAGAAATGCTGGCTGCCTGGAGGTTCCTCTCTAACGTTGGGGCATCCATCTTTGGTCTAGAGGACTAGAACATCTGACAGACTTTTCTGTGAAGCAGGATTTTTGAAGCACTACCCCACATTGTCTTGACAAAGTTTGGTAGTTGCCTTCTTTTGTGTTCTGCTTTGCCCAGTGGCTAACTTTTGCCACAAAGAAAGCAAATTGCATGTGGAGGTTCTTCTGTTCTATGCCCATCATCTTCTCTGAAGTAGATTGGTGCTGTCAGGAGCAGAGGTGTCTCGTTGTCATGAAAAGTCTTGTTACTAAAACATCTTCAATACCATATTCTGGAGCTCTCTGAAGTGTTTGAAGACTGTCTATCTAAAAATACATCTCTGTTTGACCTTGTACACATATATAATATGGCCATAAATTTGATTGTTATAGATGACTAATTGCTATCCTATATCTTTATATTATCCTAAATAGTTTGTAATAATAATAAGAATTAGAAATTTATATTACATTGGTAAATTAGCTGCATAGATACAATACCTTAAACAAGGATAGAAACATATACAGTATAATAAAAATAACCTTAAATTTGTATCAATATACATAAATCCATAACAGTGTAAAATATTTTAGGCTAGTGGTTATTCTAAAGTAGACTCAAGAGTCCACCCTTTTACTCCATCATTTATATACTATACTCCCCCTTTTTTCCTTCAGAAAGAGATCCCTGAATCTAATCTTTGTTTAGCTTTGTCCCTGACCATGACCAATAATAATTTGTAGCCAACACCCCTAAATAATGACAAACATTCATAGTCCCCAAATTACCCAAAACTACCCTCCCCACCTGTTGGGAATGTGGGCATTGTGTTCTCTAGATTGCTTCTTGTTGCTGGGGAAATAGCTTCTTTGGAGGGCCCTGAGAAAATTAAGGTAATGGGCAAGTCCTGGGAGAGCTAGCCATAACATTTGTTGTCCAGTCCAGTCTTTGTGCAATAGGAAATTGCAAGGCTTATCTTGGTCCTGACTGGAATAGTCTGTGAGGCTGAATCATCTCAGCCAGTAGCCATTCTGGATGTAGAACTCTGAGGAAACTTAAACAGAGGCACTCTGGTAGGCTGGATCACCTGGGCCACCCGTTTTCATTGGTATCTGGTCCCCTTGTTCTAACACACAAACTTTCAAAGTTAACATATATATGTGCATTAACAGAAATATGGACTGTGCATTGTACGAAAGCCAGCCATAGATGATTTTGCTTTATGTTTGAGCAGTTAAAATATAAATCACCTATCTTGTAGTTTTTCTAGGTTTATTTCTTTATGTCTGTAGCCTGAATTTTGGGGGTGGGGCAGGGTCTTCCCAGATCAAACTTGATCTCTATCAACCTTGGAGGAATCCACAGCCTTTTGTTTTCTGTGGAAACAAAAGCATAAATAACCTCTTCCCCAAAGGAATGCATTTCTTGACTTCTGTTTTAAAAGTTAAGGCATTCCTAAAGTATCTAGGCTGATTTAATTCAGCACTCCTTGTTACAATCCCTTGTCTCTCAGCAGCTTTAGTTTGCTCGTCAGCAATCAAAAAAATTCAAAGTTAGCAAAATACCATATAGGAACTAGACTCTTTGTGTATTTTCCATCTTTTCATCATGGCTTATCCTTTTTATATGAATATTTCTTTCTTTAAAGACTTTATCTTATGTATTAATTTTTTCAATGACTGTAGCCATTTTCTTTTCTTTTTTAAGCTTACTCACAGTTTTAAACACACTATAACTGTTTAAAATTCCCCCCTTCCCCCCCTCCCCCTTAGCACATGGTCCTGGCACATGGCCCTGGCATCTGGCTCCACCCTACAGGCAGCAGTCCATAGCTGCATCTTTGTGAGCCTCTGAGCCTACCTGAGAGACTGTGGTCATCAGGAAGTCACATTTAACTTTGTGTTCCAAACTTTTTTTTTAAGCTTTTCAGGTGTTATTTGGATATTGGTGGCCCCACGTTGTCTGCCATGTGTAATAAACCTTCTCTGTCCCACCTGCCAGCTCCAAATAAGCATACAGAGACTTTTATTCATTATGAAAGCTTGGCCTTAGTTTAGGCTTGTTTGTAGCTAGCTTTTCTGTTAATCTACATGTTGTCATGTGGCTCATTGCTTTTACCTCTCTGCCTATGTGTCCTGCTTCCTTTGCATCCTGCTGGCAACTCCCCCTTTCTTCTTCCTAGAGCTCCTTCTATCTGGAAGTCTTGCCTGTGCCTTCTGCCTAGCTGTTGGCTCCTTAGCTTTTTGAGTACAGATTTGCATCTTTATGGCTTTGATTCTAATTCACTAAGTCACATAAACTGTTTGCCTTCAGATATCTCGTTTGTAAAGCAAAGATGATAAAAATTGTCCTGCCTGCCTTATCGGATAGTTGTGAGAATGCAATAATGTATAGGGAGGTATTTTGGAATAAAATAAATGGACAGTACAGGGTTTATCCTATCTAGCAGAAATCCTGGTGCCAAAATGCTATGAAAATAAGCACTGAATAAATAAATGCTATCAGTGTGTGCATGTAGAAGGAGAAGCCTACTCAGAGCCTTTCCTGCTATATTTTTATGACTAATTACTTTTCAACTCTAAAAGCTGTCAGGATTTCCACCTCCCAGTAAACAAGCAATTAACACTGTTATAGACAGTAGCTATTCCGTGCTCACTAATCCAGCAGAGTTCTGATCTGTGTTGTAGTGATAGACTTTTTATCATTAGCAGAACAAATGACCTGAGAAAAATAACAAAGAGTAAAGATTTTTAGCTCACAGTTGAGCCTGAGCTGGGGGAGCTTTGTGATATCCTGGTGTGGCACAGAAAAGCTGCCTTTCCCATGGTAGCCAGGCATGCAAAGAGACTGTGTAGCAAGTAGTACTTTCTCATCAGGACTGCCAGCATGCAAATAATGACACAGAAACTTGTTAACTACAAAAGCTTGGCCTTTAGCTTAGACTTGTTTCCAACTAGCTCTTATAAATTATTTAATCTGCATTTTTAAATCTATATTCTGTAGTGTGGCTCTTTATCTGTCCTCAGTACGTCACATCCAACTTTGTCAGTGTCTTGCTGCTGTCTCGCATGTGCTTAGATTTATCCTGAGTTTTTCTGTCTGCCCAGAAGCCCGGCCTATTTTCTCCGCCTAACTGCTGGTCATTCAGCTCTTTATTAAACCAATTACAGTGACACCTCTTCATACACAGATACTTTGCAACAAGGCTGGAAGAGGCCAGGATCAAGATATATCCTTCAGACAACTAAGGCATCAGAATGAGTGTATTGCCCAAGTCACACACCTAACCTATAGCTTCTATTTACAATCCCTCTTCCTCAGTCTTCCCTGTCTGTAATGGTGGGCTTTGAGAAAACATTCACTGTTCCTACTAAAAATTTTTAAAAATCCAATTAAATTTGATTGCAACCTTTCTGTCCTTTCTGATATTTCTTCCAGCAAAAATAAATAAATAAATAAATAAATAAATAAATAAATAAATAAAATAAGCTGCAATGTGTTGAAAGAAGGAAAAAAAAAGATATATCCTTCAGTGATAAGTCCTACTGGCCCACTTCCTTCAGTAGGGCCGCCTCCGCACAGCCCAGTTAATATGAACCCTTTAACGGATTGACCCATTGATAAAGTTGGTACTGCTGTGGCCCACTCACGTCCTAGTAGTTCCACAAGCTGGGGGCTGTGCTTCAACACAGGTGCCTCCTGAACGGACAATTCATATCCAAACATCTCTGTCTGAAGACAGTAGCAGACCTGTCTTCGGGCTCAATCCTTAAAGCTAACACCATCTCACACTTACCCCAAGCCTCAGGTTACTTTACGTGTGCTTCTGACAACTGGCCTATAAATCGGGTCTCCTATATGCCTTCCCCCACGTTGATTAATTTGACTGAAT